CTCTAGCTGATGAAAATTGGAAGAAGGCCATGGATGAGGAATATAATGCACTGATTAAAAATAATACTTGGCATTTAGTGCCTGCACCGATAGGAAAAAATATTATTGATTGCAAGTGGGTGTTTAAGATCAAGCGAAAATCTGATGGTACAATTGATCGGTATAAAGCTCGGTTGGTGGCGAAAGGATTTAAGCAGAGGTATGGCATTGATTACGAGGATACTTTTAGTCCTGTTGTTAAGATCTCTACTATTCGTCTCGTTCTGTCTCTTGCGGTCTCCAAAGGTTGGAGTATACGTCAACTAGATGTCAAGAATGCGTTTCTTCATGGCATTTTGGAAGAGGAAGTATATATGAAGCAACCGCCTGGGTACGTTGATAAGTCTTCTTCATATTATGTGTGCAAGTTAGACAAAGCATTATATGGTTTGAAACAGGCTCCTAGAGCATGGTATTATCGTCTCTATGACAAATTATGCCAACTTGGGTTCAGTGCTTCCAAGGCAGACACTTCATTGTTTTTCTATAGGAAAGGTGATGTGGTTATATACTTCTTGGTCTACGTAGATGATATCATTGTGGTTAGCTCAAGTGATCAAGCTATTCCTGCTTTACTTAAAGATCTTAATGCTGAGTTTGCACTTAAGGATCTTGGTAATTTACATTACTTCTTGGGTATAGAAGTAACGCCGTCATCTGAAGGAAGTTTGGTGCTGTCACAAAGGAAATATGCAACTGAGTTGATCAGTAGAGCTGGGTTAAGGAATTGCAAACCGGTAAGTACTCCACTTGCTGTTTCGGAAAAGTTTTCATCGGTAGGTGGAGTACTGTTGAGTGAAGAAGATGGTACAAAGTATAGGAGTATTGTTGGTGGGTTACAATATTTAACGTTAACTCGTCCTGACATAGCCTTTGCGGTGAATAAGGCATGTCAATATTTACACTCACCAACAACTTTGCACTGGACGGCGGTAAAGAGAGTTTTGAGATATGTTAGTGGCACTTTGACATTTGGTCTAAAAATTGGAAGATCAGACTCCACTACTATTAGTGCGTTCTCAGATGCAGATTGGGCAGGATGTTCAGATGATAGACGTTCAACTGGTGGTTTTGCTATTTTCCTTGGTTTCAATTTAATATCATGGAGTGCAAGAAAACAAGCTACAGTTTCCCGCTCTAGCACAGAAGCAGAGTACAAGGCATTAGCTAATGCTACTGCTGAAGTCATTTGGATTCAAACCTTGCTTAAGGAACTTGGAGTATCACAACCAAAGGCTGCAGTACTTTGGTGTGACAATATTGGTGCAACTTATCTCTCTGCTAACCCTGTGTTTCATGCCAGAACTAAACACATCGAAGTAGATTATCATTTTGTTAGAGAACGGGTTGCGCAACGGTTGTTGGATATCCGGTTTATATCTTCTGGTGATCAATTAGCAGATGGTTTCACTAAGGCACAATCTCTAAGCAAGTTGCAAATTTTCAGGAACAATCTTAACTTGTGCAAAGTTATGATTGAGGGGGAGTGTTAAACAATAGAGATGCTGCTGCTTACGTTACTGCATAACTGATTCGTTTCCGATGCTGTATAGGTGTTTTCCTTGTGTATGTAGAATCTGTATAGGTTAGTAATATACGATTCGGTCTTGAGTTGTACTATTGTTGTATCTCTGTCTGGTATATAATGACTTGAACAGCCTCCACGAGAGGTAGATTGCCTCAATAGTTTTCACAAGTTCTTAGTTAATACATATTGCTTAGAGATTCCTACAATAGTAAAGACAACAATAACTCTTAACCATTCTTTCCTTTTATCGACCCCATGCAATAAAATTTCCCTTAATAAATGCAAAGAGTCGACTCTGAGCCGTTGTCATGCGTAACAACCATGTTTTCCTTTCCTCTCGTCTCTCTCTTTCACGTCACCAAATTTACTTGCATTATAACGAAGAGAGTCCATTATTAAATACCGTTATACGTGCCCTTACACCATCAGTACCTAAACTTGCGGACCTAAGTGAACCAACTAGAAAATTTAGGGACATGTGGTGAATCTCTCTCCTTTTCTATTTGTTTGATTTTCATTTTTTGGGGGAATCTTTGTAATGTTGTGAGATGCTAGATTACTTAATAGATACAAAGGTCCCTAGTGCATTAACAGTGCATGCCATCAATGGCTCCATAGAGATGCGTACCTGAGACTGCCAATGGAGGCAGTACGAAGAGTGGAAAAGGTGAACACTTTGGCAAGGGAAAAGCCTATTGTAGTAGGAGCCTGGCAGCCCAGAGATATAGAATGGAGGTAACGCAACTCCCTTGGGATGACCTGCTGCAATCGACTTCGTAAACTGTTGAAGCGACTGGAACACCTGGTTGAAGTCATTTCTAGGAAGATCATTCAGGAAGAACTGGAGCTCCATGATATGACACCCAAGCTCATTGTGACACTGAGCATCAGCTACTGTGCTGGTCACCTTGGAGACGAAGAGGAGAGTATTGATGCCGACAGAGCAGCCTAGGTCAGCAACCACCATAGTTGGAGGTAGGAGAGCCATGTACACCTGTCTCATAACCTTCTCAAGTACCGGCTTGGTCTTAATCAAAGCCTTTCGCTAGTGCAAAAATGCAAGTGAGTGCCTTGTCAGCTATGGAGTACGTGCGAACATTTGGCAGAGAGTTGCAATTGCAGGTGCTTTGATGACACATCATGATCAGTGTGGTTGAGACTTGGGATCAAGGACAAACCTGAAGCCTAGAGTTGTTGGCATAGTTTGCCTCTGCTTCACCTATTGCCATATGGAAGTCAAGCTCCATCTTCATGACTAACAAATTGTCTTGAGAAACTCTTGGTGTAAATGATTTTCGGTTTGCTTACTTGGAACCTGTGTGTGCATCTGCATTCAGTGTCCTTGTTCTATATGTAGAGCAGAGGAGAGATTTTGCTTTGCTAGCTGTCCCTGTCAATTGCAATTTTGGTTTATAGAATGCATGGGCATTAGATCTGATGTTACCAGGAATAATCAAGATCCAGCGAGGAAGATAAGCAAATATATTCCCACAACCATATGTTCCATTTTATATTACACTGGACTGTCCGATACAGAGAATGCATGGATAACAGACGAAGTATTTCAAGATTTCATCAAGATAATGGAAGGTAAGCAATATATTCAGCCGTACAGTCATTATTTCATTTTATATTAGTTATAATACATGTCCATATGTTTGCTTCCAATAAAAATGGATTGTATATATGTCTCTTTTGAGAACAGTTTTTCCATTGAAAACAGCATTAATATTAGAATAAATTTCAAAAAGTTGCAGCTTTTTGTTAAACTATCAGTTTGCTGCATTTTAAGTAAGGCGTTACATAAAACTACAGCAGTACTTGGTGACTTTATCCAAAAACTACAATTTTGTTCATGTGACAGCTCTTATACAACAGCTCTGATACAACTTTATCCACACTCGCAACACTCGTATTGTTGTAATTTGGGGCCATGTGTTATAATTTTCTATTAACATTGTTGTTATTGTCACAGCTTTGTGAAATGTTTGGCTTAAGTTATAGTAAAATGGTAGTCTTCATTAAATAGTTGCAGTTTTGTAAACTTTTAATATTATTCGCAGAGTATTTGCTAAATTTGTATTATAGAGAAATGGGGAAGCAGATAGGAAAGGAGTTTGAGGCCCAAGCCCAACATGTAAATGGAAAGAGGTGCCGTGGTGAAAAAAAAATACTGTGGGCTGCCACATCCAGTCCTCCAAGGTGTTGACAGTAAGTGAGGAGTTGTCTAGCAGTTTACTTTGGATGAGTGTTTATTTGAAAAACACAAGAATGAAATGGATTTTTGTACACGGTTAAAAATGTTTTTTTTCCAGCAGGACACACCACCTGTCGCTAAAGGCAGACCAACCATCCGTAAAAATCATTTCGGATTGCCTAGGTGCAACACACATTTAATATTTCTAAAGTAGACGCAAACGGATCAGACACTTACCACATCCACATGGACGGCTCAAGGACCACTAAAAGCAAGGATAATAATATAGCCATCTTCCTATTATTAGCCCATCTTAAAGCCAACATATATAATAGATTAGCTATAAGGTTGGCCACAATTTTCTTTTCCTCTCTCTATCTCTCACTTATACATTTAATGTATTTGTCTTGGAGTTTGTGATAAGTTAGCTCTTGCATGAGAGCCAACAGTCTTAATTTTTCATTACCTATCTCCTCCACCTAAGCTTATAGTAGGCTTATAGCCTCTAAACCTACATTACTATATATAATAATATCTAAAATTACCACTGAAAAATATATGAAACATTGTTGGAGTATGTTGGTGAGGTTTGAGAAAGCAAGAGGCGAATTATGCACCTTGAGAAAAATTCAGAATTCCCTGTCGGTGACTTAATACCCACATGAATTCGATATAATTCCTGCAAGTGGTGCAGACGTCCTCGACAGGAAAATCACTGGCCATCTGATGATCTGGTTTTTTCGAGTAGTCATTGGACAATAACGAGGCCATATATATTGTGCTTCTTCTTTTTTTTTAGGGAGGGCATATTGTGCTGTCTATTATTTTTTTAAGAAGAATATCTTCGTACAGATTCAAAAGGTAAAAACCTATTAATTACACTCAGGTTCAATGAATCTTCCTTAAGATATTCACGATGCTTCCAAATTTTTTTTATCTTCAACGTGTACTTCCTCCGTTCCAAAATAAACCAAATTTAATAAAAAAAAATGTGACACAACCTAATACAATAAATAATTGTTTAAATTTATTACACTACATTATGTCACATGCTCATTAAGGTTAGTTTATGTTAGGACGAATGAAGTAAAATGAGGAGTAACATACAATTTACTCCCTCCATTTCACAATGTAAATTAAAACTTTCTAGCATTGTCCATATTCATATAGCTATATATATGTATAGATTCATTAGCATGTATATGAATATGTGCAACGCTAGTAAGTCTTGTATTGTGAAACAGAGGAATTACATGATTGGCACTACTAACTTGAAATTGTTTGCACCGTTTGATCTCATTGAGATAGAATACTTCTAGCTAACTAGATCTGCCGGTCATGTTAATTTGGCTGAGATAGATTCCGATTGTATAATATTTTATATTTCATATGGAAAGATATACTACTATAACCCTATAAACAAACAGATCACTCCTAAAGATATGCTATAAACAGATAGAGTATAATCGTACGGACATTTCCACGGTAGGGCTGCATACCAGTTCTCCTACGATTTGGGCGAATATTTGCCCACGTGCACGTGGCCCCCATGTTCTATACAAGAGGAAAACAATGTGGATGAAAAAGGTCAATTTTCTGAAATAAACCCAATGTGGTTCTCTTAGTTTGTAATAAAGTTGAAGCACATTTTTATCAGAAAACACCTTGAACTCTCTCATAGAACTAGTATAGAACATGACATTTTCATAAGTAGCCTGATCATAAATATTTGATGTTTAATGTAAGATTTGTAAGCTTTTAAAACTTTGACATCAATTTCATATAATTAAATAAGAGGACTGTGTGCCACCCTCCTTAATAGGGGTGGTAGCGGGGCGGGGGCGGGTTGAACAGAAACGCCCTCGCCCCCGCTCCTCGCATTCCGCCCCTGCCCCTGCCCCCATATTGTCAACCGGGTTGAAAACCTCTCTCAACCCCACACCCGTAGGGAACCTGGCGGCGGTGGCGGATCTAGGAAGCAGGCCGGCCCTAAGAGGGGCGAGCGGTGCGGCCGCTCTGAGGCCCCAAAATCGGAGGGAGAGGCAGGGGCAGTGTTGACGGTGAACCGCCGGTAGTGGACGCAACCACGTGGAGCAGGTCCTTCCAGAGTGGTGGCAGCACCGAAGCAGGGAAGCCTGAAGCTGGCGAGGCAGTCCCCTGCAAGTAGAGGTGGCCCAGCCTCGAAAGGCGGCGAGTGGGAGCTCATCCCTCCAGTCGATGGCTGTGGTCCGGAGGAGGGGCCATGCAATGAGGATGGGGGCGCGGAGGTTAGCGACGGCGACAACCTGTTGGGGCAGCGATGGTGAGGCGAAGACCATGACAACATGTTGCTAGCTGCTTGACGTGACGATGAATGACGAGAGGTTGAAGATGGGGGCATTTCTGTCCAATATGGATAAAATATGTATACTAGTGGCATGTTTCAAATTATATAAAAATAGTAATAGCATTGGTACAAATACACGAATTGTAATGGCATATTTTGAATCCGTTAAATTTATAATGGAATGTATTTGATTAACCCTTATTATTTTGTTCGACTGGCATATGCGTCTGTATATTTTGTTTTAATTTTATATAGTTTCAAATTTTGCTTCTAATATTATCACGTCAACTTTATGTATCGTTATATCAGTTAAAATTAGGGTAATATTGAGGGATCTTGTTTGTACTAATTTTAAAAATTAAGGATGCGTTCGTATCCGACTTTACGATGATTTTCAAACTCGACGACGACGACGACAAATCTCGACCGAACTTTTCCCGTTCCGGAAACCTTCGCGGCCAACCATGCCGCCGTCTCCCTCACCTCTCGTTCCCGCCTCTTCGCCAACAGAGGGCCGCCGCCGCCGCCGCCCCTATCACGGTCGCCTCCTTCAAGAACACAACTGCGCGCACCCGCGGCGCGTGACGCGGCCGGCGTCATCCCCACGCTTCTCGCCGGCGGCGGCAGCCGGTGTCCTGAACCCTTCGAGGAGACCCCTGCGAGCTCCATCATCGTGGTAAGCTGAGCGTGTGTAATGAAATTCTATGTAGCAGCGTTTTGATCTTCTGGTTTGGGTGAGTTTGGTTTCATTTCTCCGATACATGCTAGGTGCTCGATGAAATGTCGCCATGGAGATCGGTTTACTCATCGAGGACATCGGCGTGCAGCATAACAGCAGGAGACGTAACGTACCACCTCAGGACGCAGAATTTGGAAGATGCTCAGGTGTGAAGGTTCCTTTAGTTATCCACAAGCAAATTTCAAATTGTGCTATCGAGTTTATTGAGATGAAACTAGACAGTTATTACCACCATTTTTATGTGATCGCAGCATCAAAAAGAAAGTCTGAATTTTACACGGAAAACGGCTCAAAATATTTTATCTTAGGTGCATTTCCCTCTGGAATATTAGCTAATTGAATGATGGCACTGTGGCTAAATTTGGTAGCTTCAGCTATACCTGAAGTTCTGAAACCTGAACAGATACCTGAATATAAAGACTTAGTTTTCTTTCTCAACCAATAATAATACGATTATCTAGATTGTCGAGAGTTTTCTGCTATAATGTTTATTTTCACCAACAATAACCATCCAGAGCTTGTTTCTATCAGAATTTCTTTCTGTGTCAGTGTGCGGATGAGTGAAGCAGTGAGGGGCTGAGGGCTGCATAATTGCATAAATACTATAGTGGATTAAATAAACACACAAATTGAAATTCACCAGCCGTAGACGAATTTTCTGCGGTAAAAGCTTAAGAACCAGTTGATGGAAATCTTATTGTAAACTAGCAGCATACAGGCGTAATTAAAAATATATATTGTAGTGTTTCTATGTAGATTCCCCAAGTGTCCTGTGTCTGATCTATACTTTTCGGTTCAACAACAAGACTATGACCGAGTACTTTGTATTGTCCTCCGCAAGGTGCCTCTCTACATTCCGTGCATACCTCTGAAAGAGCTCGTCGAGTATACATTCTCCGAAATGGCTTGCCAGCAAGGGCTCGAACACTGCTCTGATGCTCTTGGCAACATTCACCCCATGCTGAGGGCTGCTGCACATGCCATCATTTTCCATGTCATCATAGGGATCCCAGTTTGACTCAAAGAGCTGGATATGGTCAATGCCAAAGAGCTTGTTCAATGCGATCACTGCTTTTACTTCATCAATGGATGGCCCATACAGTGGTAGGTTGAATGACTCCAGCTTTTCCCTCTCCACAAGGCCCTGATGCACAAAATCACAAAGCACAATTTAAAAGCTTCTGCAAGCAATGCACATATATCATTTAGCAGCAGGGCATTGATTCTGCATGAAAAGAGTAAAGCTTTAGACCTCAGTAACAAGGGCTTGTAAAGCTTCTGCAAGCAATGCACATAGATGGCTCAGATCTCCATCCAAGACGCCCTCTTTCTTCCTTCCAAGGAATGTGAGCAGCATCTGCCCACCAGGCACTAGTTCCTGATGTCGCAGCTTGAGGAAAAGGGACATGTCCTTCTGAAACTGATCTTGGAACATTTTCACCACCGATGGTGGCATGCTCTTGGCAATGTAAATGTTCCCTCCATTTATGTCTGACATCTTTTCATCCATGTCCTTGATCATCTGAGTAGTAAGAAACAATTAAATATTATCCCAAATTCGGTAGTCTATCGGAAGGATCTTGTAAGGTACAGACCTACTTATGGAAGCACTAATTGAAAACACATGGATCTTGAAAACCGTTGACAAGGACACACTGACTGCTAGTATCAGTTAACAATTTGAAACTGAACTCTTTACATAGCTCTGTTTGTGCCATCTTGATTTTCTTTTACCAATTGAATCATTATAATGCTACTTGCAAGTTGGTGGTTTCCTTAATATAGACACTGATTCCCAATGTGCTAACCAATACGTCTATTTTTGAATCAGTGCATACCATTGACGGCACCATATTGAGATGTGTACCTGAGAACGCCAATGGAGGCAGTACGAGGAATGGAAAAGGTGAACACTTTGGCAAGGGAAAAGCCTGGTGTAGTAGGAGCCTGGTAGCCCAGAGATATAGAATGGAGGCAGTGCTACTCCCTTGGGATGAGATGCTGCGATCGACTTAGTAAACTGTTTAACTGACTTGAACACCTGATTGAAATCATTGCCAGACAGATCATTCAGGAAGAACTGGAGTTCCATGGGATGGCACCTGAGCTCATCATGGTGCTGAGCATCAGCTACCGTGTTGATCACATCGGAGACGAAGAGGAGAGTGTTTGCATCGACAGAAAAGCCTAGGTCAGCAACTATCATAGCTCGAGGATGGAGAGCCATGCACACCTGTCTCACAGCCTTGTCAAGCACCGGCTTGGTCTTGAGCAAAGCCTTTCGCTAGTGCAAAAAAATACAAGTATATGCCTTGTCAGCTGTGGAATACATCCATGAAACGTGTGGTGGAGTTGCATAGAGATGGTTAATTGGTTATTGAAGGTACATCATGATCAGTGTGGTTGCGGCTTGGGCTTGAGAATACACACCTGAAGCCTAGAGTTGTTTGCATAGTTATCCTCTGCTTCCCCTATTGCCATATGGAAGTCATGCTCCAACTTCATGGCTAATAACAAGAGCACTTCAGAAACTCTCGCTGCAATCAGTTTGCTGATTTGCTTACTTGGAACCACTGCGCATCTTCATCTAGTACTCTTTGTTCTATATATAGAGTATAAAAGAGTGGTTTGTTTTGCTACCTGTCCCTTTCAGTTGGATTTGCGTTTTAGGGGATGCAAGGGTAATTGGAACTATATCTGAAGTAGGAAATAACCAAGATCTAGCTAGGAGGATACACAAATATATTCAGCTCCATCCAGAATTATAGTTTTTTTAGAGTAAATTGTATCCACGGTACAACAACTTGGCAGGTGGGTGCGATATAGTGCAAGAACTTGAGAATTGAACGTCCGAGTGCAACAACTTGACAAGTGGATGCGTTCTAGTACAAGAACTTGACAATTTAGTATTTTGGTGAATCAATTTAGCTAAACATATGCTAGGTGAGGTTTTTCACGATGTCAACATGCCAATACACAGTAATCCTACGGATATTACCTTATAATATTGAATTTAATCTTTAAGAATTATATTACACATACAATTTACATTCAGTTACCTTTAAGAAATTTTATTTTCTTCACCTTCTCAAATAACACTTTGGCAAGGAAAAGCTTATTGTAGTAGGAGCTTGGCAGCCCAGAGATAGAGTGGAGGTAACGGTACTCGCTTGGGACAACCTACTGAAATTGACTTCGTAAACCGTTGAAGCGACTAGAACAACCGGTTGAAGTCATTTCTAGGAAGATCATTCAGCTGGAACTCCATGGAATGACACCCGAGCTCATTGTGATGCTGAGCATCAGCTACTGTGCTGATCACCATGGAGACGAAGAGGAGAGTGTGATGCCGACAGAGCAGTCTAAGTCAGCAACCACCATATTAGGCTGTGTTTTTTGGAGGAATTAGGAGCCTCTCCCCTCCGCACACAAACACATGATTAAAATAAGTATTATCTATAAAAAGCTTAAAATTGGATTAATATGATTTTTTTAAAGCAAATTTCCTATAGAATTTTTTTTTGTTACAAAACACGTACCGTTTAGTAATTTAAAAAGTGTGCATGTGAAAAACGAAGTAACACAGCCAATTGGAGGTAGGAGAGCCGTGTACACCTGTCTCACAACCTTGTCAAGTACCGGCTTGGTCTTCATGTTAGCCTTTCACTAGTACAAAAAATGCAAATGAGTTCCTTGTCAGCTGTGGAGTACACGCAAACATTTGGCAGAGAGTTGCAATTGTAGGTGCTATTGAAGATACATCATGATCAGTGTCGACGTGTGGTTGAGACTTGGGATCAAGGACAAACCTGAAACCTAGAGTTGTTGGCATAGTTTGCCTCTGCTTCAGCTATTGCCATGTGGAAGTCACGCTCCATCTTCGTGACTAACAAATAGTCTTGAGAAACTCTTGGTGCAAATGATTTTCGGGTTTGCTTACTTGGAACCAGTGTGCATCTGCGTTCAGTGTCCTTGTTCTATATGTAGAACAGAAGAGAGATTTTGCTTTGCTAGCTGCCATTTCGGTTTATAGAATTCATGGAAAGATAAATCAAGATCCAGCGAGGAAGATAAGCAAATATATTCCCACAACCATATGTTCCATTTTACACTGGACTGTCCGATACAGAGAATGCATGGATAACAGATGAAGTATTTCAAGATTTCATCAAGATAATGGAAGGTAAGCAATATATTCAGCTGTACAGCGATTATTTCATTTTATATTAGTTATAAATGTCCATGTGTTTGCTTCCAATAAAAATGATTGTATATATGTAGTAGTATCTTTTCATAACAGTTTTTCCATTGAAAACAGCATTAACATTAGAGTAAATTTCAGAAAGTTATAGCTTTTTGTTAAATTATCAGTTTGCTGCATTTTTAGTAAGGCGTTACATAAAACCATACAGTAGTAGTTGATAACTTTATCCAAAAACTACATTTTTGTTCATGTGGCAGCTCTGCAACCACATTCCACACATGCAACATTCATATTGTTGTAATTTGGGGCCACGTGTTACGATTTTCTATTAAAATTGTTGTTATTATCACAGTTGTCGGAGGTTGAACTCCTTAAGCAGGGGACTGTGAGGCCCCCTTTGTTAATTCGGCCGGGGGCAGCGGGTGAGAATCGAGGACTCGGTGGAAGATGTGATATAGAGGGGGTCAGGCACGATGAGACAAAAGGGGTTTATACAGATTCAGGCCGCTGAGAAGCGTAACACCCTACTCCTGTGCTTGGTAAATCGAGTATGGAATACAATAGCTTGAATCTTTGAGACCCAAGCGTGAGTTAGCCAAGGAACCGATCTCTCCTTCTCACTAGGCCTGGACCTCCTTTTATATCTCAAGGTGCTGCTACATGGGCCCAGAAGTCTACCTAGGAAGGAAGGAGAACATTCTTTACATTAAACACATGTCTTGTGCCTTGTCTTGGAAGCCACACACACGGGCGCCGCAGCATGGGGCCCATCAAATCGAAGCGGCTGACACTGGGGATGCCCGTGTCATTCAACATTTAATGGGTGAAGACTTGTGGGTTTCCGTTTGTACCGGGAAACAGGAATCCTGCTTTGACCAGAGCAGATGAACCGACTCCGCCCGGAACAAGAGGCTAAAAGCCCCTCGTTATCATGACGTGACGGGGCATGGCAAGCTGCATGCCGCCTGACGCATGATCGGTGTGCAGGACGCACTACCTCGGTCCCATCAGTCATTCGACCAGTCACAGACCGGTCGGGCGCACAGCACGTCGCATTAAATGCGGCGTGGCGCACCCGCTCAGGCCGCCTTAAATGTGGTCAGGTGGGCGTTGGGACCACCCACCTAACCTCGCACACGTGGCGTCTGCGATGGGGGTCGGGGCAGCCCGATCCCCATCCATGCATGGAGGGGGTGGCCGCCGCCCTACCCCGGGCCCGACCCCTCGGGGGAGTACCACGTGGGTACTGGGGGTAGCCTCCTCCCTCTAGTTTTGATACCCTCGGGCCCATATCATCGACAGTGCTGTCGGAGGTGAACTCCTCAAGCGGGGACTATGAGGCCCCCTTTGTTAATTCACCCTCCGACAACAGTTTTGTGAAATGTTTGGCTTAAGTTGTAGGAAAATGGTAGTTTTCATTAAATAGTTGCAGTTTTGTAAACTTTTAATATTATTCGCAAAGTATTTGCTAAATTTGTACTCCCTCCGTTTCGAAATGTTTGACGCCGTTGACTTTTTAGCATATGTTTGACCGTTCGTCTTATTCAAAAAATTTAAGTAATTATTAATTCTTTTCATATCATTTAATTCATTGTTAAATATATTTTTATGTAGGCATATAATTTTACATATTTTACAAAAGTTTTTGAATAAGACGAATGGTCAAACATATGCTAAAAAGTCAACGGTGTCAAACATTTTGAAACGGAGGGAGTAATATGGAGAAATGGGGAAGCAGATAAGGAAGGAGTTTGAGGCCCAAGCCCAACGTGTAAATAGAAAGAGGTGCCATGGTGAAAAAAAAAAACCATGGGCTCCCACATCATCAGTCCTCCAAGATCTTGACGGTAAGTGCGGAGTTGTCTAGCATTTTACTTTGGAGAAGTGTTTATTTGAAACACAATATATTACTATATATAATATTATTTGGTAGAATCCGACAGTATAATATTTTATATTCATATGGAAAGATATACTACTATATATAAACAACCAGATCACTCCTAAAGATATGCTATAAACAGATAGAGTATAATCGTACGGACATTTCCACGGTAGGGCTACATATCAATTCTCCTACGATTTGGGCAAATATTTGCCCACGTGCACGTGGCCCCCATGTTCTATACACCAGGAATACAATGTGGATGAAAAAGGTCAATTTTCTGAAATAAACCCAATGTGGTTCAATTAGTTTGTAATAAAGTTGAAGTACATTTTTATCAGAAAGCACCTTGAACTCTCTCATAGAACATGACATTTTCATAAGTAGCCTGATCATAAATATATTATGTTTAATGTAAGATTTATAAGCTTTTAAAACTTTGAAATCAAATTCATATAAACAAATAAGAGGACCACCTACCGCCCTCCTTAATAGGGGTGGCAGCAGGGTGGGACAGGGACGAGTTGAACAAGAATTCCCCCGCCCCCCGCCCCCGTATTGTCAACCACGTAAAAAACCTTTCCCAACCCCACACCCGCAGGGGACCTGGCGGCAGTGGCGGATCTAGGAAGAAAGAACAAGAGAGTTAAGGAACTAGACAAAGTTACAATCCCTTCCTATCTACTTATAGCAAAAAATTTTAGTGGGGCTTTGTGGGGGCTCCCATGGTCCACGCGCCAGTTGTGGAGTCTCAAGACCCTGCCATCCCCATGCTAGATCCGCCCTGCCTAGAGGGTGAGCGCGGCTCCGCACCACCCGAATGGCACAACAACTAGACTGTGAGGAAAAAGGGAAGAAGAGCATGCAAGGGGGAAGTAAGAAAAGGACTAGAAATTTAAGCAACTTGTAATGGGAAGAATCACAATTAGGAAGAAATTTTACACGGAGAGGCGGAGACGACAAAGCTAGGCGATTTTAGATATGACCTCTGTAAAAAAAGTCACTTCAACATTAGAATTTTGTCTCCCAAAATTATCATTTTAGAGTTTTACTTGTCCCATCTATTAAATCATATTTAAATTTCTCCACATCCTACTTGAAACCATAGTTAAAAAAAAGGGACCGGGTTGGCGGCTAAACCAGAGAAAACCGGAACCAGCCACCTTGACAGCTCGGTTCTACTCAAAGATCGTCCCTACAATTGAACTGGTAAAAAACCATGAACCGGGCGGTTTTTCCTTGGACCGGAAGCAGTTTTTTACAATTGAACCAGTTTTTGATTTATCCTATGGTAGTATGGCATTATGAATTTTAATATGTTACCATACTACATTTATTTATTTTTATGCCGTGGCCATATAATAATAGATGTAGTGGTTTATTTAGGGATATTTTCAGCATTTTGTGATGGTTTTATATTAAAAATAATGCAAATCAAATATAATATTAATAAATAAAAAATCAGCGGTTTGACTAGTGAACGGACAGCTATAGCGGGTCGATCCTTGCTCTGGTTTTTGAACTATGCTCCAAACCAGGGGCGGAGCTAGAACAAAATGAAGGGGGTTTCACTCGCTTGCTTTACTCTGGTTTGAATCAAATTTAGCTTGATACGAGTGCCTAAGTTTAAACTGACGGGGTGTATATATGATGAAAATAGATAAACTATAGGTAAAATTATTTTTGAACCGGGTTCCTGGGCACCTAGCTCTGCCCCTGCTCGAAACCAAGCTCACACTCCTAACCGTGTAATAATAAGAGGCATTACAGCGCCTTTTTTATGTTAATCTTCCCTTAAGTAGTACTCCATCCGTTTCACAATGTAAGTCATTCTAGTATTTCCCATATTCATATTGATGTTAATGAATCTAGATAGATATATATGTCTAGATTCATTAACATCAATATAAATATGGAAAATGTTAGAATGACTTACATTGTGAAACGGAGGAAGTAGAGAATAATGATAATTTTTATTTTTTACTACTATATATCCTCCGTTTCGAAATATTGCTACCTAGCTCTGGACAGGATATTTTATAGTCCGACAGATCTGAACTCATTGCTTCATGTATAGATTCATTGGACAAAGAAAAAATACCATCAAGGAATAACAGCATTTTGAAACGGAATAAGTATTCAGAATTACAGTTCCCAACGCATCAGCGGACACGGACAGGCGGACCAAACCAAACGGGCAGCGACATGACATGCAACGGCCCCATTTGGGCCCATCAAGTTAAGCAGGCCATATTATGCCAGCCCTCTAGCTGAGCCTTCGGTCGGGCTCACGGGCCGGGCCGGGCCGACCACATTGCTCGACCAATCTCGCCGTTTTTCGCTTCCCAAGCTCCCCATCCCTCAGAATTCCAGGGCGCAAAAAACAAAAAAAAAAAAAAAAAAATCTGCCCCTCCTAAAACCCTTGCGGCCAGGCGGTGCGCCGCACGCCCATGGCGCGGCCGCCGTCTCCCTCACCGGTCGTCCCCGTCAAGCGAGAGCCCGACGGAGCCACCGCCGCGGTCTCGGATGCCTACACGCCCCGCCCACCGCTGCGGAAGAGGCGCCGCCTCCCGTCCACCCCGACCCAGCCCCTCCTCCTCACGCCGCAGGCCATGAGCTCGACGCGCGACTCCTTCGCGGGGGAGCGGAGCGGCCTGGCTCCGGCGTCCGTGCCCACCTCCGTGAAGCGCGAACTCGGCGCCGACGGTGACGGCGATGGCGACGGCGACCGGGACGCCCGCGGGAAGGCGGTCAGCGTGGCGGAGGGCAACCTCCAGCCCCGGAAAACCGCTCTGGCGGAGCTCCCCACCCTCTTGGCCAACCGCCGCCGCCTCGACCGCCTCCTCCACGAGCTCGTCCGCTCGCACCGCTGGGGCGACGCGGCCGGCGTCATCTCCGCGCTCGTCTCCGGCACACGGCACCCCGAATCCTTCGATGAGATGCGCAGCGTGTTCGCGGTAAGCATAGGGGGGGTGCCTGATGAAAATCTCATGTGGCTGCAATTTTGGTTTTGGTCGATTTTGTGTTCTCTGATGCGGGCGAAATGCTCGATGAAAGGTCGGGATGGAGATCCATAGGCGGCTCGCTGAGAACAGCGGCATCCAACAGAACACCAGGAGTCGCTACTACCTCAGGACGCAAAAGTTGTACGATGTTTGGATGCGGAGGCTAATGTGGTTACCCACTTGTGAAAGAGTAAGTTTCAAATTGTGTCTAATGTACCGAGTGAAATGCTGTTTTTCTCATAGCTAATTAATTGTCTGATGCTACCGTGGTTTAATTTGGAAATTATGATTGACTATGCACTTGTTGCCGCCCCTCATTTTTTCTCCGGTAGCCCATCAAAAAAAATCCTAGATCACACCCTGTCCCTGTGAGGTCTAACTGCCCACGGCACCGACCTTATGTCACAGGCCTCACCGTTGCTTTTGCTTATTAACCTGTTCTTTTTATGAATGGTGCGAAAAAAATGTAGGTGAATACTAAAAGCGAACTGATCTGTGTTTCCATATAGATTCGTCAAAAGCCAAAGGCATTATATTCCTTTAAATCATGTCTTTACATCCTCCAACCCTGATAGTGTACTCTGGAATAGCAATTTCTGAAGAGGATTTTTACACAAAATTTCATTTTTGACTTCTTCATGTTTTTCGTATCACATATTCACATCCCAGCATAATTTTCTACATTTCTGCATTTCACAATCCTGTAGGGTACTAGGGTGTAGAGTTACACTTTCATTCCTATGTTTCTCTTGTGTTTTTGGTTGTGTTTTGTAGATTTTGGGGAAAAGAGTGATAGTACTGTCATAGTTTTATTTATTTCCTTGTATTTTTGTATTGTTAGATTGGCCTTTATGTAAACAGTTAGCTGTACACCTGTATCATGACAAAATTGAAACTCAGGGAACAAAAAAGTTTGAAACATGATGTTAACTGGCTCTACATTACCTGATTAGTAAGATTATGGCATCAGCTGACTACTTTTTTTATAAAACACACATGAATGCTGAAATATTGGATCATAATAATGTTCCATGCTGACTTTGTTTTAATGTTTTATCAAATATCAATGCATGGAAGACCATCATTAATGCTTTGCTATTCCCTAACCCTGTTAATTTGTTTGGCAGAAATACATGGTTAAACTCGAGCTAGCTCTTTTTTATCTTTCACAAGGTTGTATCGACAGCGCATACAACACAACAAAAACGTATGTAAAATGTTTGCTCTTTCTACTTTTTGTTTATTTTTTACTCATTGGTCTGTTGCATTGTAGTTCTGGTATTTCAATGCGTTTTGTTAATAACCTACTTCATTTGCTTTTCTTAATTCATTATAGGGACCCAAGTATGTGTTTAGCTTGTTAGGGAATTGTGATTTGCACAGATTATCAGGCATACTTGTTGTCAAATCTGTCTTACTCTCATTTTTTTAAGTGCCAGCATACTGTCAAGAATTAATGAATTATAAATTCTTCAAATTTACATATACATCACTTCAAAAGGCTTGTGCATAAGGTGTTGTGACTGAAATACTTCTTAAGTGCCAATGCTTTAGGATAATTGGTGACCTCTTAGCTTTACTTCTCTTTCGGTTTTTCACTATTGATAATAATGTTAGTACTTTATTGCATTTCTTGTTTTTCTTTTCAGTCTTATTGCTAAGGATGGACTAAAGACACCAATTGTAAATCTTATACATGGTCTGATATCATATGATAATTGGTATTCTGGCCTCCCTGAAGATATGCAACTTGAGGAGTTTGATGTTTACTGTGAATCACACACAGTTTCAATGGCAACACATCACTGTGATGAAAATGGTCAGCAGGATACTTCAGATGATAATTGCAGCATTGATGCTGATTCCAGTTCTCCTGGTTGCTCTTCAAAAAGTTCAATCAATAATTGGAACATAGACAAGCAAAGAAAGTTTCCCGAGAAACCTGGTTTTGTTCATTCTGCACGGGAAGATGATTCAGTTGGATCACAGGTGGACGAGAAAATGGTTGATACAGATTTTCGAAGCGTGTTTTTCAATACCGCCAACAGTCCTACTTGTGGTAAGTTCCATCAATGCCTGTTTTTGTTCATACTTTCATCTAGCTTTTGGTTTTGTTGAGTATTATGGTAGCCACAGTCTTGTACTGTTGTACAGTGTCAAATATACAAGTTATGAATTTGATAACACACCAACGTGCACTGTGACCTCATCCACGCGAATGTTTTTTGGTGTTTCATGTTGTGGTTAGGTGCAAGCAAGGCTGGCTCCATGATTTCGTTTCCTAATTATTCTCATATGAGGCTATGCCAGGTAGCTTTGGGACCCACAGCTGTAAGACTGGACTTTCGAGTCGTGGGCACCACAGCCAAGCTAATTCAGCAAGTTTCACAATTCTTTAATAAAGTTTTTCAGTTTGTAATTAAGTTGATTAGCAATTTTCTTGGTAAAAGAATTAGTTCAAGCCTTTTCGTATTTGAGTATGAGGTTTTTATTCTTTCAAGATAATGTTTTGGATGCAAATAGAGGAACTCGTAAGTTTTCAGTAGAAAGTTTTTATAATTGAGTGCAAACTATGTTGTTTCAGTTGAAAATTTGAAAGAAATTATAAAAAAAAAAGATTACTGTTTTTTTAGAACATGCAGGAGATCTGCATATCATTTCATTAAGATAGAGGGAAAAAGTTGGATGGCGTTAGAGATAAACTCCGACACCCACCCACCCGAAAGTACAACAGCAACACCGCACACCCAAGAGGAACAAAACAAACCTAGAGCACTAGCACTATAGCCCTAGACAAAAAAGGTCACAGAGCTTAGAAGCTCCTGCTAGGCACCAAAGGGCTCCCTCACTAGCAATGGCTTGAAGGACATCAGCCGTGCTTGGGGTAGTGCCATTAAAAACACAGTTGTTTCTATGCTTGGAAAGTTAGAAGTAAAAAATTACTGCTTGACTAAGTTTTGGGGCTGATCGGAACTGCTAGCTGCTGCAGCCACTATGGCTGCGGCCCTTTTTCAGCTGCTGCGCTACAGCTGTTTTTAGCTCTTGCAGCCGCAGCGGCTGCAGCAGCAAGCGCTGCCGATCACTCTCTTTCTTATCACAAATTTTTAATGAAGTCTCTAATCAGAAAGTTTTCAATGGGAAAGTTTATCATAGTAAGTTTTTAATGAAAAGTTCTGTTGTTGAGTGCAATTTTTAGATTAAAAAAGCTATCAGTTGAAAGTATCAAAAACAGAGATAATTGCAAGAACGAAAAAGAAATAAAATGCATGCATCGGTGGTTTTGCCACGATGCATACATTGATAGGGACCACCATTGGTGTGGACACAGGAAATTACTAATTACTCCCTCCATCTACTTTTGATAGTCATATTTCATCTTGGCACACAGACCAAGGATAAGTAATTCTACTTATCATCCATTTAAACATGCTACTAGTCATTCCTCGTAAACAAGCGATTCATTAATATTTACATTTCTCGATGCCCATGTAGCCAATCTTATATGGAAGAATGGATAGTCATGCATTAAATCCAAGAAAATCATTAAGAGGATAGGATGTTGAATTGAAATATGCCTATCAAAAATATTTTTTTCAGATTTGGAAATATGACTATCAAAAGTAGATGGAGGGAGTACTAATTAGAAATCTCCCACAAATTATACATAGCTTGAACACACTACTGGAACCTGATAGAGCTATCACTGTTCACAAAGACCGATGCTAGGGTGTAATGTCACAGTTATCTAAAATTTTCTTGGGTGTTGAGGGTACTAGTACACATATTGTTCTTGGGTCATGTAGTGCTGCACACAACACAACAATCCTTTTTATGTTCAGAACCATTTATCCTCTGATGCTGTTCATTAGGATATATATTTCTGGATTATTTAGAATCCGTTACCTCAGCAATATGATGCTGTTCACTAGGATCTAGATATCTGGAATTCTGGATTCTGAAACATCCTTTTTAGTATAGATCGCGCCAGAAGTGTCCTTGCATTGTGTAGCCATGTCTGCCCGTTGTCACTTGTCAGATTAAATTTTAGACTAACCTTGTTAAGCTGACTCTGTCGATTCTATTACCTTCTATTAGTTTCTTAATCTCTTTCAAACTCATTGAAGGATTGGAAAAAAGCTTGTTGCCATTACGGCTAAAGCATTCTGATGGGACTCCAAATGCTTGCTTTGATTCATATTGGAAGTACAAGTCAACACCTAATGCTTTCTATGAAGACGCAGAGAAATGTCTAAGGGTGGCTCTTTATTCAACACCACCAATAATGGCAGCCTTACTGCCATTAATACAGGTGTTTGTCAATCTATCTTGTTCTGATGCATATTAAGCATTATGTTTCCGTATAAAGTTCATTTGAGCCGAACCAAATAACCCTACTAGCTGATCTAGCCTAAAGACATAAAGTTGCTATATGAAGATATGCTTTTTTATCTGAATCGTGCCTTTTCATTGTTGGTGGCTGCATTTTTTATACTTTAGCAACCCATCATAGCTATAACTATTTGCACCTTGTATTACCATGGTGTTAGTGGTTTAATTAATAATGGCTATCATCATCTCTGTCTCATCAGAGGGACTCTGTAACGTGTGTTTTGCAAAACAAGGCACTGTTTCGAACTAATAAATCCTTATGTTTCAACAGAGGCCTTATGTTTGAGATTACTGAAATCTTGCATAGATACAGTTCTCTGTGTTAGCTTTTATAGATATTGTTTTGATCGTTTGTTTTCGGACAGATTCTCTTGCTTGGTGATAAATTGAAAGATGCACTTGCTGAGCTTGAGAAGATCTGCCACAGTTCAACTACAGCGCTTCCTTTCAGGTTTTTAAGATTCCATACTATTATTGGTTAATGTTGTAAAACAAGTTATTTTTTATGAACCCCATTCTTCTTTCAATGTTTACTGCTTTACAGTATATCTTTGTGCAATACTAGTTCCTGTATTTTTGTCCTGATTAGACACAGTTTTTGCAGATGTATTTTTATTTCTTTTTTGTAGGAAGGGGAAGGGATGGGAGGGGAGGGGGGTGTTTGTCCTGGTTAGCATGCAGTTTTTGTAGACTAAGTACCTGAAGTTCAATTGTTTCTTTCTGCAGATTGAGAGGTAGATTGCTGGAGTATTTTGACCAAAACCAAGTATCAATTATTTCTTCTTGCTATGCTGAAGCTTTGAGAAGAGATCCTACATGTACCTACTCAATGGAGAGGCTAACCAGACTGCATAGAAAAGGTTTTTTCTGAGTATATATTCTCGATTGATTGCATTTACCAGTTGAGTAGTTGGATTGCTGTTCCCTTGTTCTCGTGATTTTATCAAAACCACCGTGCAAGTGGATGGACCAACGAAGCAGGACATCAAAGGAGTTCGGAATGACTATTAAATGACATACCGTGGCCATTAGTTGTCTTTTGTAATTGTTGTAGGCATGAGAGTGGAAATATTGAAATAGTCCAGTTACAATCGTGATTTCCATGATCAAAAATATTGTGACATGAACCAAATAAATTTTGCACGTACTGTGGAACAGTGAGGACATTAATACTGTTACATGCTTAATAAAATATGAACGAAGAAAATGAACTCTGGACTGGGATATCTGGTTGTCCATTATCATGTACTCCCTTCATCCCAAAATATAGAAACATAGGACCGGATGGGACTTAACCTAGTACTACGGATCTGGTTAGACCCTTGTCCAGTTCATAGTACTCATCTCATCTGGTCTCTGTCCAGATTCATTCATAGTATTAGGTTGGGTCCCATCCGGTCCTAGGTTGCCATATTTAAATTTTGAGTGAATTGCAGTTCAGGCCACCTTTTATTACCAAAATTTCAGTTTAGACCACCCTTTGCCTAACCAACACTTTTGACTTGGTAATTTTACCTTTTGTATCACATTGGACCACCCAACCTCTTTTATCCATCCACACCTAGTCTATCCTATGTCAAAGGTATGGTCTGCATACAAGCTCTAGGAGTTCATCAGCATGCAAGAGCCGGTGTAATCAAGGTCGTTGATGTACTTGAAAAGCGAATCAGGGTGGTTTAAAATGTAACAAGTAAAATCACCTAGTCAAGTGAAAACATTGGTTAAGAGGGTGGTCCAAAGCGAAACTTTGGCAATAGAATGTGGCCCGAACTGAAATTTAATCTGAATTTTTCAATGAACATGGACCTTGTTGCTAACTGCATCTTAAGTTATTTTGCCTAACCCTAACTGGCTCATATATAGTTTTACTAATTTTAACTAGGCCTTATAGTACTCACTCTGTGCAATATTTGCATTGAATGGTGTTGTTCACAATTTTTTAGGGTGTATTTTAAAATGCCAATGCAATATTAGTGTGTTAGTACTTATTCCTTCTTCACCCTCAATAAATATCCAGCTCCAGTTATGTATTCTTTTCATGCATCCATTGAATGTTATGGTACTTAGCAACAATAATTGGTGTAGTCTAGGCAATAGCTATTTCAAATGTAGACTTCATCTGCAAGTTACATAGATTTTCAAATGGAAAGAGTAATCAGTGGGGAATGACAGTCCTTATAAACATAGGGTTTACGTGGGTCTGACCAGGCTGACCCACTGACCCTTATCCCTAATTTATGTTTCCTATTATTTTTTTTGTTGCTTTTATATACATAGCATTTTCACAGATTATATTAACCAACGTAATATTTTATGAAACAACATTTCGGTAGTCCTGAATACGCAATGTGAGTGAGCTTTTCTTGTGGATATTTTGGATTGTAGAGAAAATATTTTGTTAATACAAGCAGTTATTAATTTATTATACAAGTTTGTTGCATTGTTTGTCTTACTTCTATGCGAATTTTAAGAAATATATATTACCAATTTGATCGTTTGATTTTCAGTGTCCATTTTATTTTCCAGACCTGTTGGCAATGGTTGACAATTTCATTACCTTTTGTCGGTCCCTACAGGCTATTATAATACAATCGAACTACTTGAGGCAATAGCTTTACATCTAGATTCTGTCAATGGGAAACCTTGCATCTGGGAGGAGCTTGTATCATGCTTCCTTCGGCTCTTTTCTGAGTGGACTACTGATTACGGGGATTGCATGTCATGTAACGTGCAAGGAGATGCAACCTTCACTGCTTCTAGTAAATTTTCCTGCGTCTTTTTTGAGCAAAATACAAGAGAAACATGGAAGGTCCGGTGCACATGGTGGATGAACCGCCATTTCAGCCAAAGTATTTGTACATCGGAAACCCTAACAGGTACATGTTTACTCCTTGATATGAAATGACATGGTACACCATTTCTTCCATTGTGATCAATTGGGTAACGCGGTAAAATGCCATCAGGCTCTGCTATCGGATACTGGAATTTATATGTACTCTTGGTTTGCTTGCAATCCCCATTTTCGTTAAAGACATCCGATGCGATCATGATCACAGATAAAAGTGTTCCCTGTGTTACTTACAGGTGATTGCAAACTCCTCGCTTCCAAGGCTGCTTGTGCCTGTCACTTGTTTGGACCCGAGTTCGAGTACGTCGAAGCCGTTGAGGGTTATCTTTCCGGGCAAAAAGCTGATGACGAGATTGCATTCTTATCTAGAAATATGCAGAACTCTGTAAGACTATTACAAACGTTGGAGGGGCTAACTTCATGATTCAGTTTGTATACCCTTTTTTTTTCCTCTATTGCCATTGTATGCCGTAGTTCATGGATGTTGTTGTAAGTATAGTTCTGGCACAGTTTTGTACCGGTGCCTCTCAAAATGAGGCTAATTTTTGTAGGACGAGAAGGGATGTATCAAGTATAGTGTAGGGGATTAGTACTGGCGGTGGTCAGCCATTTGTTATGGATGTGGTGAGGAACAAGGAAAAGAATATTGAACTTAAATATATTTTATTTTTATTGCTTCTCTATTGGAGAGTAGTAAATAAAGAATCAGAGCTATGCTTGGACATTGGTATTGACAGCATGTTTTATACTACACTAGAAAAAATGCCCATGTGTTGCAACGGGTAAAATATATTTTAATCTTATGATTGTTATATGGTTTAGTTAAAATAAAATTCATTGTGGGAGTTCGCTTGGATATACACGATCAATTGATGAACACCTCACCTGGGAAAATATCACCGAACAGCGACACGGGCAGACATCTCGACACCGTTGACGCACGGCCGCCGGCCGCGCTCACAGGATTATCGATGGATCGCTGTTGTCGTCCTTCGGCAGACGCCGCGGTCGCGCTTGGCCCATCGCCTGGACAGGCATGCCATCGCCGCCACTGGTGAACTCTGCAGCCTCCTGAGACTCTGATGGATCGCGTCGCCGTCGCCTCCCCGATCTACTGATTTGCTTATAAGCACCACCGTCTGGGAAAGCGACGAGCAGTTCGGGATGGATCCGATTAGTGCGGCTTGATTAAGTATTACGAGAAAACAAATTTACGAAAAAAAATCAAAACGGGTTAGGAATTTGGAACCGCTAGCGGGCTCGATCGGCTGGTTACTGATGGATGGTGGATGAGAGCAGGAGTACGTACTCCTGGGAGTATATAATCATATTCATATATATATATATATATATATATATATATATATATATATATATATATATGACACTCGTATGGGGCACCATGGTGCCCGGGCACCATGGTATCTAATGCACAAAATCACTCAAATTTTTCAAAATTTTCAAATTGTGAGTATATACCTAGTTATAATAATTTGATTCATACCTATACTTATCAACAAAACAACTCAAATTTAACTTTATTTCACAATCCATGATTACATACCTAACTAATTATATGTATGGATGCTATATACCTAGAATCAAAATCTAACAAAAACAAGTTCAAATTCAGTTCAAACTTGCTTTAAACTAGTTAGTAAAGTAGTTAATGTTAATACCTAAGTAATTGAAAAAGTTTCATACTCATTTGAATTGGGTATATACTCAATTTCAACAATGGTGCCCGGGCACCATGGAGCACCAAACAAATTTACTATATATATATATATATATAAAATCATAAGCTGCAGTTAGAAGTCCGATTGTCTCAAGTTAACATGCGAGTTTTTTTAAAATAGATTTCTTATATGATTCCTTCCGTATCATCAAAAGTGAACGATATTAAAAATCGACTCAAATACGGATATGTATTTCCAAAAAGAAAATAAACTTAAAAACCAACTCATACACGGATAACGTACCAAAATTCTGGTAAAAAACATCTTTAATTTTTATAATAGTAGAAATTATTGCGTGCTAATGCCCATGCATGCGTTTTGCAATTTGCAAACTGAACTTGGGAGTGGTTCTTCTCAGCAAGCCTGATTCTTGCGCATTCTGTTGAGTTTGCGAACAATCATAACCCCATCTACTGGCCATCAGCTATCGACGAATCATTGCAGCTACAAAAGAAAACCCCAAACTTTGGTGGGGTAATTGACTCCAAAAAATGGCTGACCAACCACTAACCTATTTCATCCTTCTACCCATAATCCCATATATCATACCGGGAAGACAAATGCCAACAGCTATACTCAGCTGAACTAGTGCAAATTACTACACCCATTCAACAGCAAAACCTTCCACACCCATCTGTCATCTGTGTCAAGCTTTGTCTATGTACAGCAACCAACCAGCGAGCGCCATCTTCAGCTGGCCGCCGCCGCCTCCTCCAACCCAACCATGTTGTTGACTCCACAGCCTGGGCACGCGTACCGCCTCTGCAACTCCTCCGCAAGCGAAGCGTGCGCTTTCTCCATTTCGGCTGCCCGCTTGCTTCCCGTTAAAGAAACGCCTTTTGCAAAACGCTTGGTGAATTTGCACAGGGAATAGCACAAGATGTAGTGAGTTCGAAAACTTCTGAACGAACCCAAGAAAAGGATATTCTCCAAGCTCCTGCAGCTGCTTCGTCTCTCCCATCACAGCCTCCATAAGAGCTCTCTTCGCCTGGGTATCAGCCAACTCCCGACGAACCTGCAAGTGATGACAGGGAGCTGTCCTGGTTGATAAAATCATTGAACGGTAAACTTGAAAAAAGGGACTATTACTATTATGTTCCGAACCCATGTTAGAATTTATCAGCAGACGCATGTACCACAAAGTAATAAAGTATTTAGCTTCATGTTTAACACCACCATCGTCATTTGCATGTGTAAGACGGTTCTTTGGATAGGACGCAGTATTTTGGGGGAAATAGAGATAAACCTCATCATGATGGAGCAGATCTTTTTTATACTCTTCTTCTAAGACATGCAACTCGGCATCAGCATTGTTCACCTTATCAATCAAATCTTTCAAAATACCTTCTGACTCCTCGATTTTGCTCATGTCTCTGACATGTTGACCTACCATGGTGAATATCTCAGTAACAATACTTATAAACACCTTCAAACAAAATTCAGGAACATTGGGAGCGCCTAGTTACCTTCTCCTGAGGGCAGCTCAGAGCACTTCTGTCGTTTAAACTCTACAGAAACTGTTTGTTGAAACTGCCTGCACAAGACAAATATTGTTTTTTATCTTTTGATAACCAATAAGAAGTTCTTACAAGATAAATTTCAGCTAGCAAGCAAATCAAAATGATCATAAACAAGCGAAAAATCAGTGCTGTTCATCGCTGAATTGTTTGGAAGCACCAAACCAACCACGCCGCAAAAAACACTTGAAACATCTGAAAAGTAGGTGCTATTACCACATGAGTCACAGTAATAAAAACCTAAAGCATTTTCATTCTCCAATGCTCCTTAGTGCATTCAGGAATTTTGAGATCCACAAGACATCCACTGATACTCTTATCCAAGCCCTAAACTAAGATCCTAATACAGACTAGTAGTGCGCCCAGCATATAGGTTTTTAGATTATCAAGCATGGCTCCAAGCAAAGAAGCAAGAGATGCGATATCTGTTGTCGCAAGTCCAATGTGCGGCTAAACAACATGCAGGTAGAACAAACATTGGTTACCTTATCTTTGTGTTTAACTGATCCATCTGGCTGATGAACTCATCCCTGCAAGGAGCAAGTTGCATGTCTTAGGTGCTTGCAACAAAAGTATCCACCGAAATGGCGATGAATAGACCAGCAAAAGGGCAATCAACAAAGCTCCCCACTACTCACCTCTCAATGTCTCCCTTGCCCTTTTGGAGACATTACATCAAACACCAAGAGCGCATCGCCATTTCCCGATTGCAATGATACAAACCAACACAAACAAATCAGCGCAACACATTACACTAACAAGCTCAAACAGCGAACATCAAAATGCAGATGAAATTCGAAACTACTGACCTTAAGCGCGTCCAGATCAGATCCCGCCTTCGAAATTTCCTCTTGGAGATGCGAGATCGTCGCCTAAACCCACCAAAACAAAATAAACCCCAAATCGAATCAGGCATCACTTCACCAATTCCGACCGAGCGATGGGGAGGGGGGGGGGGACCTCGAGCGCCTGGATGGACGCGGCGGCGATGGCGACCTGCACCTGGCCCCCGCGCAGCTCCTGCTCCGCGCCCTCCCGCGCGCGCTTGGCGGCCTCGAGCTCCGCCGCGGCCGCGTCGGAGGCGGCGCGCAAGTCGTCGAGCCGCCGCTTCAGATCCGTCACCCTCCGCTCTGCAAGCAACTCGGATGCCGCGAGCGGATCACGCGAAAACCCTGCGGCGGCGACAGCCGGCGGCGAGAGGTGGAAGGACTTCGCTTACCGCCGTGGGACTTCTCGGCGGCGAAGTCGCGGATGATGGAGAGGAGCTGCTTCTGGGGCTCGCCGCCCGCCCCGGCCGCCGCCGACGACGCAGCCATCGGGAGAGGGTGGAGAGGAGGAGAGCGACGCGGCAGGGGGCGTCCTTCCCGAAGCTTCTAGAAGGTTCGGTGGAGCCTATTCCCGCCTCGAGATGAGCGGAAGAGAGTGGGGCTCGTCGTGCTTTTGCGTGAGAGGCCGAACAGCCCGCTTGACGTAGCCCTGTGGGCCCAAATATATATGTTGGGGGCCCTGCATGTATGGGCCAAATCAGCCCACCAAAAGAAGCCTAAGTAGGTTTAAAGAAAATGTCCAATTAGTCTCCCTCAACTATAGGCCGAATCTGACTCATCCCTTAACCGTAAACCTGGAGAAGCCCCCTCAATTATAAAAACTAGATTAATTTACCTTCTCGAGTGGTTTGGAAAGTGGTTTCGTTATACATGGTGTCTAGTGGCACGTTGATCCAGTATTTATCCGACGCGGCATCATATTCAGAAAAAAAAAAACAAGTCCCAATCTATAACTTCTTCCTCCACCTCTTCCCCTCTTTACTCACTTCCATTTCCCTGTGCCCATGTGACGTCACTACACGTCCGTCGTGACAAATGAGTACGGAGGTGGTGTCGGGGAGGCCGGGTGGTACGGGATGTCCCTCTCAAGGTGTTGGAGGTCAAGCTCAGATCTAGGTGATCCCGCGACTCAGATTTGGGCAATGGGAAGTTGGTGGCACTTGCGGCGGTGGGGGAAGCGGCTTCCCACGGAGGCCTCGACGACTTTCCGTAATAGCCCTTGCCTCGGGGACCATCCCCATCGTCGCTCACTGGAGCATAGGGAAGGAGTGATGTGGCCGGGTTTCCTAACAACCTATGGTGCCAGCTCCACAAGAGGGAATGCGAGAAGCCACGATGCCATCGAAGGGGAGTAGAACAGCCCGAGAGGGGCTCAAATTAACAGCAAGCTCGTGTCAATGATGGAGCGGCTTTGGGGAATTGAGGCGGCGACTACTATGGCGGCAGGAGGCAAAGATGATAACCTAACACATGCTGGGGTGAGCAGATAGAGGAGCTCAAGCTCGATAGTTGCAATCATTAGAGCAGGTATAATAGCAGACTATATGCAAGCTACAACCATATTTTAAGAAGATAAAAGAGGAGAGAGAAGAGCGGTGGGCTACAAATATAGCCAGCTGTAGCACGGACTCCAAGACGCAATGTTTATATGACAGGTGGGATCAGGTATTAATAGTGTAGTATATGTGTATAGGTAACTATTGTATAAATTGACTATAGATGATTTGGAGCTAGTAAACTTTCTCTTAGGGTGCGATTGATGCTGTGAGATTGATAAAAGAGAGGAGAGAGAAACAATGGGAGGAGAATGACATGTAGGTTCTGTTTAGAGGAGGAAAGACATATGGTCCCGTTGGGGTTCTTTTCTTTTCTTTTTTTCTTACCATGTTGGCACATAAGCAAGTGTATTTTGTTGATTGGATTAACGTTCCACGTAGAATAAAACCGTCATCCAAAATACTTAGGAGGGTAAATTGACCTGGTTGTTATAGTTGAAGGGAGCTCTATATCCGGCTTTGTAGATGAACGACGAGAATAAGACTCAATCTATGGTTGAGAGAGGCCAAATGGACTTTTTCTTCTTCTCATTTTCAAGTCTCTTGCATCCATCATTTTTTGGGCCATAGGGTCAACAGCATTAGGCCCAGAATTTAAATTCATTTTGTCATGTATTTTGTTGACTATGCAGCATTTGAAGTAGATGGTCAGAAAATCGGTCATTTGAGCAATTGAGCAGATGAGATGTTTAGAGCTAAAGAAAAGGAACCAGCCAAGTTTGGTCTCATGATTGAGGGCGCATTCTAAACAATCTCCAATGGAGGTATGGATTATATGTGCCATGCTTTCAGAAGTGTGATTTCTCGAAAAAAATATCTACATCAGCATTGCTTATTCGATAACTTTTTCAAATTCATCCATGTTAGCAATTTTTTCTTCATAATCTATCCAATCATAGCCGTTAACCTACATCACTCGGGACCAAAAGCAAATCAACATATCCCTCTTCGCCTTATGCTCTAAATTTTTCCTAAAATATGGGCTTGATCGAAACGAGGGACCAGCAACTTAATTTTTCCTTGGAATGATTAGCCTCAACACGTCTATATGAGACACGAAAATTATATAAATTCGGTGCGGGTCTCACACGGGCCGAACAGAACTATATATCTAAACGCAAGTACAGGACCCAAACCTGCAGCACCAGCAGCAGCAGCAGCAGCAGCTTCTCGATCGAGCTTGATTACAACTAGAAAGCAATTGCTTACCTATCAAATCACGTCTCACCCGCTAATCACACACAAACACACGCCTTCGTTAGTTGGCCGACACATGCAACCGCAGGCAAATGAAATGATCAATAAGAAGGTGTTCAGTATCTTCCCCTTTTTGTTTCTACATATCAGTCACCTCCTTGTTCAGATTTCTCCTACTACCTTGGATTTAGCTATATATCACTTGGCAGAGAAATCCGAGTGGCTCAGTGTTAACAAGATCACGAGCTAGCCATACATATATGCCCAGGACAAGAACCACCCGATTTTTTTTTTATAAGGGTGTAGCTATATTTATGGCGCCATATTTTTCATAAAAAAATAGTCGGTATGTATTTACATTATAAGTCCCTAAATTACATATGTAATTTTAGTCTATTTATAATGTTTGACAAACCGGTACTAGTTAGAAACAACGTGTCGGGTACAGTTTATTTTTAGAATAAGTTTAGTAAAAAAGTTAATTTGTCAAAACTTCCGAATGTAGAAACACCAGCATAAGCTTCTAAAAACTTAATGTTTTCTTCGTTCCAAAATATAACAGTTTCTAGTTATGTTAATATATTTTGGAACATAATATATAGCATAAATTAACTTAGGACACTCACAATTTACATCTCAATTATATGAGAGAAAGCGTACTACCTTTTGAATGTAGCTTACTACGTCCGTAGGATGATTCAGGACGGGGTCACATGATGATGATCTACACTGTTCGTGCCGTCGCCGATCGGTCAGCCATGTACTAAGAGCAGGTAATAGCAGGCTATAAACCAGCTGCAAATATATTTTAAGAAAATAAATGAGGAGAGAGAAGAGCAACAGGCTACAGATTTGTAGTCAGCTGTAGCACTGACTCCAAGACACTGTATGTGTATGACAAGTGGGACCAAGTATTGATAGTGTAGTATATAACTATTGTATGAATGGGCTATTAGATTGGCTATAGATGAATTGGAGTCAGTAGTTAGCTATACTATTAAACTTGCTCTAAGGTTGTGTTTAGATCCAAAGTTTGAATCCAAACTTCAGTCCTTTTCCATCACATCAACCTGTCATACACACACAACTTTTCAGTCACATCATCTCCAATTTTAACCAAAATCCAAACTTTGCGCTGAACTAAACACAGCCTAACATTAGCAGCAAAGAATGGCTGCATTCGGAATGTATGAAGACTGATGGAGAGCAAATCAGCCAGGGAGCATAGGACAGGACAGTCCGGCGTTAGCTAGCGCGGCGAGCAACTTCCCCCAATCTCTGTCGCCCGAACGACGGCGAAGCTCATAGAAAAGTCAATTTACAGCGCGATTGGATTTGCTTTGAGATTCGTGCGTACGTCGATCACAGATCTCAATTAATCATGATGTTTTACTTTTCTTTCAAATCCAGAATGAATTCCAATAATAAAACATTAATTGGCTTAGAACATATATATACTAGTCCTAGTATATAGGGAAAATATATTGTGAAAACGACATATGTAATGGAAACTTAGAACCTATCAAAAATAAACGTATGAGATTAGTCCACATTATCACGAGTAAGCATTTTACTTGCAGATTTACTCTTGAGTAAGTAAAATTTTTACTCATGATGATATACGTAGACGAATTTTAGACATCCACTTTTAAAAGAAACGGTAATTTCTATGTTTGCACTACATATATATTTTCTCATATATGTACATATATTACACTTGAGTTGCAAAAAAAAAAAATCATCTTCAATGCATGGACGCCCTGCCTTGCCGGCCTTGTCAGGTGGTGGTGGTCGTCATCGCGCTTTCATCACAAGATCACAAGCGCAAGCGCGCGCCGATTTGATTATTGGCATTGCATCCATCGCGTGCGCGCGTTTGGTTGATTGCTGGTACGAGCGATGTGTTGTGATGTGATGATGCATATCTCGATCGGTTCGTGCTGCTTAATTCCGTTGCTTGCGCCGAGTCGTCGTTCAATTCATTACTTCAATTCATTCGCAGGCACCGGCACGTACGGCGAGTTACTACATCCGTCTCAAAATATAAGCATTTTTAGCTATAAATCTAAACAACTATGTGTCGATGTATTTGGCAATGTACGTATAATTATGCTCATGTAAGTAGTACTGTAGTAGTAGGAGCCGATGATCTATCATTGTCTTGCTTAGCCTGCAGGTTACACTACATTACATGCATACATCGATTTCCTCTCCTCTTCTAGCGCGCGTCTCAGAATTGTGCTGCCTTACAATTTGCGCCTCCCGTTTTCGCTTTCGAAGGGGATATGGATGGAAAGCAAGGTTTCTTGTTTCTGGATCCACAAATTTGAGCATTCTAGCTAGCTATCCCAAATACGAAGAAGTAGAGCGTGCATGAATGAATGCTAAGCTAGGACTAATTGTCCTAATTTGAACCCAACCGGGGTCGGCTTAAGGAGATGCTTGGCATTTACTCTCCGTTCCAAAAGAAAAAAAAAACTATCTCTTATAAATGAGGGTGTGTTTAGTTCACGCTAAAATTGAAAGTTTGGTTGAAATTGAAACGATGTGATAGAAAAGTTGAAAGTTTATGTGTGTAGAAAAGTTTTGATGTGATAGAAAAGTTAGAAGTTTGAAGAAAAACTTTGAAACTAAACTCAGCCTGAATCTGAATAAATATCTGTTCAAGTCTGTTCGAAAAGTAGTTTTTTTAGATGGAGGGTACATACGTAGGAAAGAAAACATTTACATGATGATATATATATATATATATATATATATATATATATATATATATATATATATATATATATATATATATATATATATATATATATATAGTACCAGGAGTAAACATAATAGATTTTCTTAATAAGAAGATAGATTTTGGAGCCTG